CATTTAGGTGCTTCTGTGTCAGGGTCTGGTTTTGTGCTTGCTGGCTCACTATCATGACTTGTTGTATTAGAACAGACCCATACTTAATGTTGTGCGTTTCCTACTATTGGGCTGTGTTCAGACTGAGTTTCAAAGGTGTGAAGAAATGTAGCCCGCTTTGTCAGGGATTGTGTTCACCGTAGCTGGTACCAGCACCGCAGGGGGTTCCGGGAAAATGATGCAGCCCCACGTGGCTAAAAAGTTGGATCTGGTTCCACTTTTGCCACAACAAACAGTAACATCATGCAGCTAAGGTGCTGTATTGAGCGATCACATAGGGGACGGTCGTAAGGTGGACGCCCATGGGAAGAAGACAGTTTTGTTTACCACATTAGCATGAGCATTCACTGCTATTCAATTAGCACACCATAACAACATACCATGTGTTTTTGTTAGTTAGCGTACTTGATATTAAACTGAGTTTTATCTATCAATACTGACACACTGGTGGTAGAAATTGGTGCTAAGGTAGAGTAGGCTATGCTAGCAACATGGCTAACCAAAACTCAAGGGTTGAAAATGTGAATGAAGCCATTCACATCGACCTGTCACAACATGGCTGTATTGTACACACCTACAACCACCGCAGCCCCTTGCATAGAAAAACATCAGGGAGTTGTGATTCACCACACTCAGTCTGAACACCGACTTACAAATCAGAATGTCTGCTGTAAAAACAGCTTACAAATGTTTGTTTTTACACCTACACAGGTAAGACTTCTTAATTTGTGACTTTGTGTTTATATATTGCAGACAGGGTGCAGCATTCTGTTCATTACTCCCTTGCTCTTCAGAGAGCTACGTGCAATGTGGCGAGAGAGACGAGCGCTTCGACAGCAGCTGTGAACATCTGCTGACTGTAATATTTCTCTCCTATCAGCAGCTCAGATGCAGCTCTGCAGTATTTCCCCCAGAATTGATTTACTTGTGGCGGTAGCTGATGGGGGGGACGACACAGGCTTTCATAATTTTTTTAAATTAATTTATTAGATACAGGGCGTAGTTTTGCATATGGACATTAAGGACATGTTCTTGCTAATATTTTGAGAGGAAATGTCACTACTAACATTTGAGCAAACCCGTGCGCATTATCTTTGGAGTGAAAGGCATATTAGATCATTATGATGTGCTTGACCTACTGAAAGGGAGGGGGTTATCTAAACCTCACGTTACATGCACATCATATTTGCTCCCGGACACGGAGGATGCAAAATAGCTGTTGGTCAGTGGGCCGACAGTGGTATGTTATAGGGGCTGACTTCAGTAATGTTGGAAGGATATTCACAGGTTCAGAGTTTCTGGATCAATAGCGGAATGTTGCTAAAATACAAATGGCACCTATTTTGTTTCATAGTAATGTAGACAAAAAGCTACAAGCTCATTTTTATCAAAATGAGCCGTCCTCTGCTCCAGACAAATTACATTGGTCTCAGCATACAGCCGGCTGTGCACGGACCATCTACCGAGTGCAACGCTGACAAGAGAGTGGCCTACTACAAAAATATTCAATAACTTTACTCTTACCCAGTGTAGTGGTACAAACATTACTTCACACATCAATGACCATCTGCTGGTCAGAATGTACTAATGTATATATTTATGGGTTTTAAATTGATGTAAATATTAAACTTTTTAAATGTACGCACATATACTTGGGTCAAGTTGAATAAATTTGGCCTTTAAACCAGGCGATTTGGGGATCAGAATCGCCTAAAGAATATACTGTCATTTTTCATAGACCTATATTTGTTCTTTTTGATTGAGATCATGAATATTGTTCTCTAGGATTCTTACAGTAATTAGAATTTAGTAAACCACTTAGATCTTAGCTGGGTTTGGGGATATCTTTTTTTTTTTTTTTTTTTTCTCACAGCCACTTGATTCTTGTTGTGTAATCAGGGTTGTACTGTACAGTTTCCACATTAGAGGGACTGGCCCTGTCCATTCTGGATTATATATGTTCCTTATTCCTTTTATGCTTCCTGTTCACTGTAATGTTTAAATTGTACACACACACACTGACAGAAACACAGTTTGAGAGATCGCATACTCAAAATCTAACATGCCTGAGGGAAAACTGACATTGCAGAAAACTTAACATTTTTGCTTGTTTGTAGCAGAAGTTGCATATTTTCTGTTTGTTAGGGAGCTTCACTGTTTGAACGTCCAGTGAAGGTAAAATATTGGTCTTTTTATGTCATATTTGCCGATACTGACAGGGTGGGAAAATTAAGTTTCAATCAGCTGTTTGTTGTAAATGTTTAATCAGTTTGTTAACTTTGTGGTCAATAACCAGCCGTCATTTAAAGGAATTCAGTTTGTTTCGTTTAAAAATAAGGAATGATTATTTTTCCAGCCATTGTGACACCTACAAAAGCTATTTTGCAGCCTTGCACGTAGAAACACGAGTCATGTTAAGTGCTAAACATTAAGGACGAGCGATATCGGGGCAGCTTTCAGTTAGACAGGTTCCTTGTACTACACTTGGGGCAGTGGAACATAAAATGAGAGCTACACCTCCAATATCTCTGAACCTACTAAGCTAATGTATTAGAATGTTAACTGAAATGTTTCTTTGGTGTATTTTTTGTTTTATTTTTATATTTCAAGGTTGAACCAATGTAACTGCAAATTTTGTTTTGAATAAATGCACATTTCAGTTACAGTTTCAGGTCTATCTTTGTCCAGCATCTGTCGGGGTTTATATGTACATGCTCTTTGATTCCCTTTGTAGCCACCTGTTTAGCTGTGAATGGGATGATTGGTTTCCCGTTAAGACCAGGTGTTTATAATTGTCTTAGGTTACGCCCTGCATGGGCTGTAACCCCCATTTTGAATATGTATAGTTTTTAATCCTTATTATGAGATAGCCATTGGAATAAAGGCTCTTTTTGGAGGAGTGCCTTTGCCGTTTTTATTTACTTATTTTGGTCCTTTTGCAAAAAAGCACCTTTGATTACTGTGTTGTGAACTTCCTGAGCTTTCTTGCATCTTCTTTTCTAAAATGCAAACTACAATTTGTGAATTATAATAAGGTTTTTGATGGTACTGGCAGAAACCTGAATTAGATTTTATTACAGTTTTATTAAATTGCATTATTATTGCCCTCTGCGGTATGAAGCCAATTTATGTTGAGGTTATATGTAATGCTTCATTAGAACCACCTGGGGGCGCTAATAACAAGGGAAAAAAACACTAAAGTACAGTCATTCTGCCCTGATACTAACAGTGAAAACAAGAACTTCAGACTAGTTTTGTTGGTTTATATCAACGTCATTCATTAACATTTTATTTTGAGCACACTATATGAAACTAACCTTATAAAGGGCAACAGTGCACCAACAACCCAGCAAAGGAACCACTTAGCAATTCCTATACAAACATTACTGTCAAAGGATAAGATTTTGCTCATTATAGTTACACTTCTATATGATGCAAGGACATTTAATCCAGTATTAAATTACAACAAAGTTGGTTTACAAAGATTATCCTACATTCATGTATAAAGTACAAAAAAACACTACACTGCAGTGTAGCTGAGACAGGTGAGTTATGAAAATATTGGGCACAGTAACGCTAACAGATCAGTCTTGATGTCAATTATTTAAAGTTTTTTAATATTCTTGCCAAAATACATAATGATAAGGGCTAGAAAAACATTAAATAAAATAATGTTAACCTATACCCTAAATGTTAGAAACTGTTCAACAATGTGACAAGTCTAATGGGAGCTAAAACGTTTGTCAAGTTTCTAATTGTTTTTTTTTTGTTGTTTTTTTTTTGGCAACAGTTTTAAGTAGTGCAAAGACATTTCAGAAGTAACACAGAACAAAAAAACTGAGAATATAGTGATGTAAAACCATGAAAAAACATTGCATTAACATACATACGGTCATCTTGTCTTTTTTATTTTATTTTGCGGAGCTGGAAGTGGTCGGACTAAGACCTTTTATGGGGTCAGACTATTTTTCACCCCACTGCTATTCCGCTGCTCTGTCTATGTCTGGGAAAGCTGACAAAGTAAAGAGGATCAGTGAGAGAGAGAGAGAGAACAAAAGCTGCTTGCCACCTGAGGGAGCGGAGTTTCCTCTGTACGGAGCAGGACCCTGCTCTGACACACTGACTCTTACTTGATGTAAAACTCTGAACCTCAACAACTTTTGCCACAATAAAATAATCCCCACCACAGCCTTCTTTGCTTATGTTCTCTTTCATGTCTATAGTTGCAAACAACCTGAGCTATATTGGTTTTGAGTTTTTTAATAGAACTTGTTTGTGTTGCTGAATCACTTGATGAGGTAGTAAGAATGGATTAATCAAAGTTATGACATTTTATCCAAATGCAAATTAAGAATGACCATATAGAGAGAGATATAGGTGGTATAGTATGTAGCAGGCAGATATGTAGCCGTAGGTACTGAATCACTGAAGTTGTTGATTGAGCAAGTTGTGGATGACATAAAATCTGCAAACTTGCCTTTTAAAAACTGAGATTTTGTCTCGTTTTAGTACAATGTGTGGAATACATTCAAATATCTTAGCTTGGGATCTGTGACCCATAACTGATCACACAATGAGCAACATATATAAATGTGTTTGGAATTAAATGGCACAGCACTATCTCTTTGGTTCAAATACCTAAACTGCCACAGTTTACAACCTCAAGATAAACACCAAATGAACATATTCATATACACTTATATGCAAGTCAAACTTGTTGAACAGCAGAAAAAAAGAAAAAGTGACGCAGCTCATCTCTTCATATAAAAATTAGTAAAAAATAGAACCAAACGTTTTGATTCCTCTGAGCTGCAAGTGATAAAACGCTACATTCCGTTCAAACTGGACCTCACGTGATGACACAGAGTGGAAAATGCTACATTATTAAAAACATAAAGCTGATGAAAACATATAGCTAATGTATGTTCTGGTCTGTTGCCCAAAAATAGATCTTACCACAACCACATTATACAAATACAAAGCAAAAAGAATATAGTTTGCCTATTTGTACATATTTGCTATGTTTTGATGGTGTGGCAATGGTGGAGTGTATATGAGCCACAAAGGCTAAAACATAACTTGGGGACAGTGGCACAGGGTTCCACACCTCATCTTACCTCATTTTAATTTCTGGTCTTTTTTTATATTTTTTATTTTACTCAATGACCTAGTATTGTAGAGAATAAATAAATAGCTACACTGAAACATCATTAGTATTACTCATAATTTAAGTCACTATTGTGCAGCTATCACTGCATTACCTTATCACTTAACCGTTAACCTGGAGTCATGGTTGAGGGTGTGACCACTGGCCTGACCCGAGCTTTTGGAGTCATGGGGCGAGACTTAAAGGCTAAGCGTGATGTGAGGTCTGGAATAGTAATCAAGATCTCTTACAATTTTTAGCAAGTGGGAGAAAAAAAGGCTGAAGACTGAGGTCAAATACTATCTGAGGTTAGAATGACAGCCCATTTTCTGTTATTTCCTGAAAGAGTGCAATCAAAAATAACTTCACAGTACAGTCAAAAGCTGACAAAAATAGTATGTAGAATATATATACTGTACATATATATATATGGTTATCCACAAAAACCATTTCTAAGGTCTGAACTTGGAAAATGGTAGCTTCATTGTGGTGGAAATTAACGGTTTGTGTGTCAGAGAATTTTTACGCTCATGTTGTGTGAGCTTGTAGACAATCACTTAAAAACTGCTACATATGTACATATGATATGACATATATCTATGTGATATGACCTATGGACCACTTAGTGATCCTCCACTGGGTCCCACAGTGCCTTTCTACTGCCGAGAAGATGACTTGTAATACAGAAGCCTCCTTTTCTTCACCTTGAAGAAATCTGGGGGAAATGAGAGAAAGGACAGTGCAAATCAAGAACAAATACCTCCAAGCAGTCTAATAACAAAATCTGTCCTAGCATGCTCATAAATGGTGTAGAATAATTATTGGAGAAAAAGTGTGTAATTTTGTTAAATTCACATCTTCTACAATGAACATGAGTGTGGCATCAATGTTGTCAGCTAAAATGCAAATGAGAAAGAAAGTCACTTTCGGCTTTTCCCGTTTAGGGGTCGCCACAGTGAATCGTCACACTGACGACTCGCATGTTGACATTTGGTACGTGTTTTACGCCGGATGCCTTTCCTGACGCAACCTGGATTCGAACCCGGGACGCCGCAGCAAGAGCGCTGCACTTTAACCACTAGCCTGCAAATGAGAGGATTTCCAAAAATGTCACACTATTCCTTTAACCAAGATGTTCCCTGGACTGACCTGTGATGGCGGCTTGTCTACGTTTCCCTGACTGTTCCAGCCTGTAGCACCCTGCAGTAGTCACTTCCACGTACTCATCCCCAGACCCAGATGAGCTGCTGGACAATGGGGAACCCTTGGGTGATGAAGACGGTGTCTGTCTCTTGCCTTCTGTCATCCTGACTCCAGGCTGCATCCCTGGCCTCACCGTGCAGCTGTGGTAAAATACTGGCACATCCTGGCACCTGAGCTCCTCCCACTCGATGTTGGAGCCCTCTCCTGGCATATCAGTCTGGAAATCAAAATTCCAGCGCTTGTTGGCCATATCCACACTCATGCAGAGCAGCCGCTGGAAGTCCTGCTGCAGCTGCTGATGGTCCACAGGACCAAAGAGATTCCTCCGCACTGGCCCCACCTTCAACTTCAAGGCCTTGATGCCCCCCAGCTGTGAGAGCTCTGAGTTGGAAGTTGGTGCTGCTGTTGACACTGATGAAGAAGCCCTCGCCATGTCCCTGTAAGAAAACATACACAGATACATGCAAAATGTTAGAGAAAGCGCAGAGGCTGAGTGGTGGCTGGGTTAGGCCTGCAAACTTTAAATAAGGTGTGATCTAGAGTTTTAATGGCAAGGATTGCACACACAAACTAATAAATGCTCAGACACTTGACATACTATCTGTCCTCTTGGGAACCTTTGTATTGAATGTGATCAAATGTACCTTAACCTGCTGAATAATTACTGAAGAAACAGGTAACTGAACCAACATCAAATAAATCTGCAACAACATTTACTATCCTGCCATGTCAAAGTGAACCTGATTCCCCACCTGCTGCAATGTCTGCCAGTAAAGGGGTGACCATAAAGGTCAGCGGGTCACCCAGAAAAAAAGTTACTTGTGAGGAATGTTTCCTCAGCAGCCAGATTTCATTAGAGCACCACTGTTGAATTCTGAGATTCATTAATACATTAGTAATAATTTTCCTGCCCAGGGGTTACAGCTTCATCATATCACAACCTGCTTTATCTATATAAAGGTCACTTAACAAAGGAGGTTATTAAGAACCTTATCCCCTGTTCACTCAGTGGTCTCTGAGCCTGTGTTTGACTTGCACTTAACTGGTAGCTCAGAGCTTTCTTTTTCAGCTGTGTGTGTGCTGTAAAACCGAGTGATGTGTTTTCTAGCATCAACATTAAATACTGTGTTTCTGCTTCTGATATATTAGTATATTACATAAAGACTCTTTCAAAGACCTTATTCTCATGGCTGGTGCCCCAGATCCTCAGAAAAAAAATCTAGTTACAGTACTTCTAATATTTCTGTTACTGTTTTACTCTCATGCTGCCATCTTGCCAGGGCTCCCTTGCTACAGTCCCATGGAAATGAAATATCATGTCGAAAACCTCTGTCAGACGCTGCCTTGTAAAAGGCTGCTCTTATCCCCTTATCTGCGACTTGTTTGTTATGGACTCCGCAGACAGAAGGGACGTCCTACTAGACGACTCGGTCACGTGATTTCCATCAAGCCAGTCATTGTTGGAGCGCAGCCAGGAGGTAAACGATGCAATCATAAATTCTTACATTTCAAGGCAACACCAGGTGCAGTTGCACTGCTGCAAAAGTGCGCAGAAAATACCTCAAATGCACGAAAATAAAAAAAGAACATATTTGTTTATAACATTATTTACTGGCAAAATTATAAAAGTGTTAATGATAATTAAATTTCTTACTCTGTTATCTTGAGGCTAAACTCCCAGTTTTTCCGTTTTCCTCTGCTCCAAACCTGTTGCTCCTGCATCCCTGGAAGCCTTTATGCTTTGCCTCTCCTTCAGAGCGAATAGTAGGTAAAATATCTTGGCAATGGCGACCATTCCCAATTTTTCCTCAAATGTGACACACATTCTCGTATAGTACTTGCCTCACGTTTTGTTTTGGCACCGTACTCACATCCTCCAGTCACGTTGAGCTGTAACGTGAGCGCGGCAAGTAACTCCATTTTGACGTTGCAGATTTACCACATCGCTATTTGGATATATATTTAGGTCCGTGAATTGGGAAAAGCACCCAAAACGCCTTTTATATGATTATGTGCATTTCGTTACTACGAAACATAAGAAGTAACACTGCAATTTCCCTCTTTAGAACTAAAAAAAAAAAAAGAGGGTGTATAAAAATTATCATACATTTGCTATATAAATTTGCATCTAATCTGATTAACATAAAGTAATTTTGTGATAAAAGGTGGGTGGGAGTTCCAAAGGGGTCCCATGAATATTTTTTGCCTTAGGGCTCCATAATGGGTTAATCTGTCCCTGCCCCAAGCCCTAGTCTAGATAGACCGTGCAAAAATATCAATAATCGTATCACATAATAACATTCTGGGCATACTTATTAAAACTAAAGCAAGCCTTGACTTTTCTAATACCTTCAACTTGCTGCTAACAACATACATTAACATTAGACAGGATAGCATTCATCCAGACAATGCAAAAGGGTGACAGTGTTTAGTTTTGTTAGTAATATTTTTAAAAGCGTAAGATCTTCATTATATTGGCTTAATTTGGCAAATAAACCATAAATGATTCATGAGCGAGTCATTTGTGGTGTTTTAACTGCAAATCACCGTGACTTTTAGAACTATCAAGATGCCACCATATCAGCCCAATATTACCAGGAAGACAGTAAAAGCAGGCGACATTTGGAATTAAACAGTGCAACGTCAGTCTCCCCATTTATGATTACTTCCTGAACACTGGTTGGACAAACATCGCTAATATCGAACAGATATAAATGCTTTCATTCACCTACAGGGCGTCTCTAGTTGCTGAGTGAAAGTTTGCGTCGCAAATGAAGTGGGCAGGTCAGGATTCCAATGTACACGGTGTCCCCACTTGCTGAAAAACACCCACAAACCGCCCAAAACTTTAATCCAACAAAAAAAAAATCACCATGATTAAAAATGCACCAACAATTTCTGCAACCCAAACGCATCATCATGCAATTTTAAATAAAACTGCAACACAACGTTAGGCTTTGTAAAAAAGAGAAAAGTGAAAAAGAGGGAAAAAAACTTCGTGACGCAGTTACATTCACTGAGGATGTAGGTCAATGAGATGCGACCCACAGTGAAGAAAGACACTTATTCCTCATATTACACACACGACTGGCATGTAATATTTGTTTCGATAACAGAGGTTTATCAACTAACATTTATGCTCTCATAAATACTATATATTTTAAAACGAGGAAAGAGCTCTAAAACGGGCTAATTTGTACATTTAAAATAAAATAAAAGGCTTAATGCGAATTAATGGAATTTTAAGTTCTTCACAACCAAGCGCTTACGAGAAAAATACTACCACTTACCATCGGCGTCAATATCTCAAAATGTTCAAAAGCAAACGTTTACGGCTCGAGTGTTTCGTCCGCAAATTACAGCCACTCAACTGGAATGAAAGGTGTTCCTACAGTCCCATGGAAATGAAATATCATGTCGAAAACCTCTGTCAGACGCTGCCTTGTAAAAGGCTGCTCTTATCCCCTTATCTGCGACTTGTTTGTTATGGACTCCGCAGACAGAAGGGACGTCCTACTAGACGACTCGGTCACGTGATTTCCATCAAGCCAGTCATTGTTGGAGCGCAGCCAGGAGGTAAACGATGCAATCATAAATTCTTACATTTCAAGGCAACACCAGGTGCAGTTGCACTGCTGCAAAAGTGCGCAGAAAATACCTCAAATGCACGAAAATAAAAAAGAACATATTTGTTTATAACATTATTTACTGGCAAAATTATAAAAGTGTTAATGATAATTAAATTTCTTACTCTGTTATCTTGAGGCTAAACTCCCAGTTTTTCCGTTTTCCTCTGCTCCAAACCTGTTGCTCCTGCATCCCTGGAAGCCTTTATGCTTTGCCTCTCCTTCAGAGCGAATAGTAGGTAAAATATCTTGGCAATGGCGACCATTCCCAATTTTTCCTCAAATGTGACACACATTCTCGTATAGTACTTGCCTCACGTTTTGTTTTGGCACCGTACTCACATCCTCCAGTCACGTTGAGCTGTAACGTGAGCGCGGCAAGTAACTCCATTTTGACGTTGCAGATTTACCACATCGCTATTTGGATATATATTTAGGTCCGTGAATTGGGAAAAGCACCCAAAACGCCTTTTATATGATTATGTGCATTTCGTTACTACGAAACATAAGAAGTAACACTGCAATTTCCCTCTTTAGAACTAAAAAAAAAAACGTTTATCTCTTGACTCCTCTACTGACAAATACGAATCTAATTTAGTTATGGAAATTAAGTAATTATAATTGGCCAAAAAAGACTAATCTGATTTACAGTGTTGAGGAGACGTGAACTACATGTAACTGGTGGTTTAACTACATTTTGCAGTACCTTGGCTGGTAGTTCAACTATATTCATGGTTGTGTAGTGACTCAAGTAGTTAAACTATATTTTTTTGCACCAACAATTTCTGCAACCCAAACGCATCATCATGCAATTTTAAATAAAACTGCAACACAACGTTAGGCTTTGTAAAAAAGAGAAAAGTGAAAAAGAGGGAAAAAAACTTCGTGACGCAGTTACATTCACTGAGGATGTAGGTCAATGAGATGCGACCCACAGTGAAGAAAGACACTTATTCCTCATATTACACACACGACTGGCATGTAATATTTGTTTCGATAACAGAGGTTTATCAACTAACATTTATGCTCTCATAAATACTATATATTTTAAAACGAGGAAAGAGCTCTAAAACGGGCTAATTTGTACATTTAAAATAAAATAAAAGGCTTAATGCGAATTAATGGAATTTTAAGTTCTTCACAACCAAGCGCTTACGAGAAAAATACTACCACTTACCATCGGCGTCAATATCTCAAAATGTTCAAAAGCAAACGTTTACGGCTCGAGTGTTTCGTCCGCAAATTACAGCCACTCAACAACTGCAACTACAAATATGTTTGGGCCATGAAAGGAAAGGAATTATATTTTATTTTAATTTACCTTTGCTTCTCTAATCTTAACCACCATTTGCATAAGAACATTGAGAGATTTCTCATGTTGTTTAAACAAGAGATTCTGCTCTGTGGACACATTTAGACCAAGGTTCAAGCTGTTCATATGGTCTAAAAGTTTTAAGTTCAAGGCTGTTGTTAAGTTTGTACAAGTCAGATGTTGCAAAACTGACAAGTAGCACAAACAGGCTCATACTTTTAGACCAGCACTCAAGTCAAGTCAAACCATCAAGGTGCACTTCAATCAAAAATTAATCAGCAACTGCTTAGATTATCGGTTAAGTCATTTTTAAGCAAAAATGCCAAATATTCTCCAGTTCCAGCCTCTAAAGTGTGAATATTTGCTGACTTTCTTTGTCTTCTATAAAAATAAACTGATTATCTTGGAATGTTAGACTTTTAGCTGGACAAAATAAAGCTTTTGAATGTGGTAATTTGGGTTTTCATAATTTTGGATGGCCAGATTAATAAAGATAATCAGTAGCTGTAGCTCTAAAAATTAAACTGACAATAGGGATTGTATCTGATTTTTACACATGTAGATTATTGCTCATTTTAATAACCATCAGCAAGTTCTCTCTTCCTTTTATCACTGCAATAAATTCGCTTTTTTTTCTCAATTATAACAAGTTACAAGTTTTCTTTGATTGTTACATGGGCAATAGCCTTATTGTTGCATATTTTTTCTGTGACAAAATAGTGATTTGAGAGGCTTGCTAATTGGCCACCATGCCTCAATCTGAACAGTTATTCCAGGTTTTACATGTACTCACTCACTATTTTTCCTCACTTGTCAGCATCTGAACTGTCTCATTCATGTAGACAGCATTTCTGCAGTGGTGTATGGAATGTACTGCTTTAACCATGTCAAAGCAGTGACTGTGTAGTGGTCATTGTTTGTGTGTGCAATGTGTGAGAGGCACAGCCTAGAAGTAATTACATCGCCATTATAGAATGTTACTTGGTTGGAAAACACTATTTTCACATGGGGGCTTAGCAAAAGGTAAAGACAGTTTAGAACAAGGCTCAAAGCCTTTTGTTTCCCAAAATCCATACATACCTTCGGCCTAATTTACTTTATCTGTGTATTTTCAGAGACTGTACACAAATTATTTGGGTAGGGAGGGAGGTTGAACCTTTAAATACAAACATAAAAAGCAAGACTGTCATCAGGCTTACCAATATTTGCTTTAAGCCCTCCCTTAACAGTCATCCAGGTCATAGTAAGCTGAAAAAAGAGTTTTTTTTAGGTCGAAGACATTTCACCTCTCAACCAAGAGGCTTCATCAGTTCTGCCCGACTGGTGTTGAGCCAGAGATATTTATCCCCCTCGGTGGTGTTTCAGTCCTTTGATGCCCAACAATGTCCCCTACTGACTGAGTCGTTATAGCCCAGTATTGGTGAGCGTTGTTACCTGTCTTTGAATCCTCCCCTGTTGACCGGCGCCTATTGTCCTGGTGGGCATGTTTGTGCAGAGATCTCAAAACAGAGTTGCAGATGGATGACAAGTTGTGTCTTAGTCCACCACCCCTATTTAGTGAGGGGTGTTCTATTTTTACAAAAATAGCTTCCTTGACTCCTCTCTCAAACCAGCGATGTTCTCTGGAGAGGATCTGGACTTCACTGTCCTCAAAAGAATGTCCTTTGTCCTTCAGGTGGAGGTGGACTGCTAATTCTGGTTTACTGGAGTTGGTCCTCCTGTGTTGGGCCATGTGTTTGTGCAGTGGCTACTTAGTTTTACCAATGTACAAGTTGTTACACTCCTGACTACACTTAATTGCATACACCACATCACTCTGTTTGTGTCTGGGTGTTTTGTCCTTCGGGTGGACCAGCAACTGCAGGCAGGGTTTTACATTTGTAATTGATTAGAGTGTTTGTTGGCTGGGAAAACAGCCAGATGTTAATGGAAAATTGAGCTCCAAATTAAATAACATAGGTCGATTGTCCACACAAAAGTCATCTTTTTGGACATAACTACTACAAGCTCTTATTGCTTTTTTTTTACATGCTGAGTTATTTTAGGTCTTCCCAATATTACGCCTAACAGTCTGTTAGATATTAGTAAATCAGTTAGATAATTGTTAGACATTAATGTGTTAGTAATGCAGTTTAGTAAGATTTAAAGTCTGCTCTAGTTTGTTTTGTTTCAAGGTTATCAGACAGAATGTTGATTCTGAAAAGTGAACCATAGGCACCAATTTTTTTCCTGTATTAATCTTGTGTTAGAATATTATGTCTGAATAAATGAATGAATGCCTTAGCTACACACCATGTGACAACATACACACACATTGAGATTCTTCATTTTGTTATGACTAGGTAAAAATGCAGCTGCTCAAAGCATGTGGAGTACTAGATAAGAGATGGAGTCTTCGGACTGACTTCATCTGGGTAAGGGGTTAGCCCAAACCTTATAAATGTATTAGGCTTTGTGTGGCCAGAAATTCCACTTTCCAGTAGCCTGTGTGTGTGTGTTTCTGGAAGGGGGAGCAACCTGGGTCATGTTTGTAATTTTTTCTTGTGGTTAAAATAAATCAGCACTAAATGAAGAAAGACGGACTCCTTCATTATTCAGAGCTGTCCAATTAAAGAACTGGGGTATTACAAGTCAGTTATGGTTGTGCTCCTAATGCCCCACTAATCCTTGTAATATCAGAGGGTTCAACAGCAGACAATGAGGTCTCAGCAGCATGATCTCTCACTGTTTTGTCAGCTCTTTGACCTGTATTTACAATTAGCTTAATCTTCTTCATAATTTTACAGTGCCGTGTGAGTTTTGGCGTTTTATTGTAGCTTTATTCTAGCTTTTCTGAGGGGTGTCAGCCTGTACATGAATTATGCTATAGATCGATGAATGTATATGCCTGTCATATGTCTACTTAGTTGATTTTTATTCTGATATTGATATTTTGATGACTTTGGTTTTAATCTTTTTGATGTAGCACCTAGTGCTCTTTGAGCTGGTAGGTGCTTTATAAATAAATTTTATTATTATTATTATTATTACCTCCCCTCTGCCATCCTTAATCCTATACTGTGTTTTACAGTTGGTTGCAGTCATTAAACACATTGTCTTTCCTCTGTGGTCAGTGTACTTTGAATACATTAGCATGTGACTGGGGTCACACAACAATATGCTGGGTAACTGTCATGTTGGGCTTCTGACTACAAAACAAAACAAAAAAACAGTTCCCCTCTTTTCATTCAAATGTTACTCATTCACTGTGCTGTAAAATAAATACAGGACACAAGGGAAATCAGAGGAAGCTGCAACTGCAGGCAGGGTTTTACATTTGTAATTGATTAGAGTGTTTATTGGCTGGGAAAACAGCCAGATCTGATACACCACACACACCCCAAAAATGGTTTGGACAGCATTATTGAGACCCTCAACTTAATGTTACACCCTTTCAGCAAAATAACTGAAATCAATCACTTCCTGTAACCATCAGTGAGTTTTTTACATCTGTCTAATGAGATTGTGGACCACTCTTCTTTTGCCAACTGTTCCAGGTCTCTTAGATTTGAAGGGTTCCTTCTCCCAG